CAAGCTTGCAATTTAACAGAATTCTTGAAACGCGACTCGAAGGTTTTTGATTAGATTTCATTTGAATAAAATTGGGGATCAATTTTTTACATTTACATTTAAGTAAAAAATCAAGATGATTCAGGAATTTTTGCCGTTTCAGGCGTAATTTAGTGAAACGATTAACGGATGAAGGCATGATAAACAATGCAAAAATCAAACTAAATTAACTGAGCAATAATAAAATACACACAAAACACAGAAAAATCCCTCGCTGAAATGAATAGAAAACAAAACGTTTCTAAGCAAAATACATGAAATCAGACAAGCAAAGCACAATATCCAAATGTACAAAACATAAACATAACTTGAAAATTGCAAAAATGTACTCACCGAAACTCCTACAATCACAAAATGGCGGCCAACACCACGTGCAAAAAAGAAAGCAAAATAAAGCCTGTTTGGGGCTTCTATAATTAAGACACAATAACACGCCGAATAAATACTAATTCAGAAGTCAAACAACAAAAATCAGCGTTAATTGCTATTGTATCAAATTTAGGTACTGCCTCGTATCCTTTAGCTAAATATTTAGTTTCTAGATTTTCCACTCTATTAGACAATAATATTTACACCATAAAAAATTCAATAGAGTTTTGTAAAAAAGGTTTAAAAAAACATTTCTCCTAGTAATTTACTCATGGTTTCTTTTGATGTAAAATCATATTCACCAATGTCCCAGTGGAGGGTGCATTAAGATGTCTAGAAACCAGACTTCGCGAATTTCATTTCTCTTGCATCGAAATTGAGGAGCTAATTTCTCTCACTCAACTCTGTTTGAAAACAAACACATTTTGTTTTCCAAAATAAATATTACAAACACACTGAGGGATTAGCCATGGGAAGCCCCCTCAGTCCCATCCTGGCTGATATCTACATGCATTATTATGAATCAAAATTGTTTGAACTTTAAACTTTCCCGGCATGGTTCCGCTACGTAGACGATACTTTTACCCTGTTTGAAGGTAATAAAGATGATTTAAATAAAGTTCGTTCAAACAATGAATTCTATTGATCCTGCTATTCAGTTCACTTTTGAACTTGAGACTTGCAATTCTCTTCCGTTTCTCGACATTCTGGTCACACGTCACATCCAACTTCAGTACTACAGTTTACCGTAAACCTTCATCGGTTTGCCTTCCACCACACTTAAATCATGTCATCCGACTAAACAAAATTAGCTTCATTTTATTCCTATGTTTTCCGTGCTCTTCAGTTTGCTCCTCCAAATTCGCCCTTGATGAAGAACTAAATTATTTAAAAGCAATAGCTATTGACAGGGGCTTTTCACCCAACATATTAATCAAGCAGTTAAAAAAATTCTCATCTCAAACAACTAAAAGCCACACTCTTATTTTAGGAGATTATAAAAATTCTGTTGTCATTCCCTTCTTTCCATCAATTAGCTATAAAGTTGCACATATTTTGCAGAAATTTAACTTTCGGGTTGTTTTATTCTCCCCCATCAATAAAAATTCCAACTTCTATACTCAAGGACCCCCATTCCGGATATGAATTCCTGGGGTATTTATAGGATTCCTTGCCAGTGTGGTGTTTAATTTACATTGGCCAAACTAAGAGAGCCTTAAAATTTCGCGTCAAAGAACATGAGGCATATGTTAGAAAAAAGGAAACACAGAAGTCTTCTGTTGCTCAACATTGTTGGTCCGAAAATCACACTTTCAATTTTTCTGCTGCCAAAATTATTCAAAAAACATCTTCCATTGGGGAACTGGATTTTCTAGAGGCATTTCACATTCATAAAAATCTTTCTGTTCTAGTTAACGATCCTAATTCCAATCCAAATTTGCCTTCGGCTTTTAAAGAAATTATGTTTTAGTTCTGGTTTCGCCAACAGATGGCGCCACTTGCTTATTCTTGTCCAGGCTTTCTTATCTTATCTAATCATTATTTCCTATCTTGTTCATTTGCGGTTTTGCAGCTGAAGATGATGGTTCGGTAAAACCATCGAAACTAGTCCTGTGAAAATTTTGTAGGTATAACGCTGATTTTTGTTGTTTGACTTCTGAATTAGTATTTATTCGGCGTGTTATTGTGTCTTAATTATAGAAGCCCCAAACAGGCTTATATTTTGCTTTCTTTTTTGCACGTGGTGTGGCCGCCATTTTGTGATTGTAGGAGTTTTCGGTGAGTACATTTTTGCAATTTTCAAGTTATGTTTATGTTTTGTACATTTGGATATTGTGCTTTGCTTGTCTGATTTCATGTATTTTGCTTAGAAAACGTTTTGTTTTCTATTCATTTCAGCGAGGGATTTTTTCTGTGTTTTGTGTGTATTTTATTATTGCTCAGTTAATTTAGTTTGATTTTTGCATTGTTTATCATGCCTTCATCCGTTAATCGTTTCACTAAATTATACGCCTGAAACGGCAAAAATTCCTGAATCATCTTGATTTTTTACTTAAATGTAAATGTAAAAAATTGATCCCCAATTTTTATTCAAATCAAATCTAATCAAAAACCTTCGAGTCGCGTTTCAGAGAATTCTGTTAAATTGCAAGCTTGCCTTACTTCGGTCCGTGATAAGGGATACACGTCAACAATTGTCCAAAATTGAACATGAACTCTATAAGCTTCATCTGGAACTCGCTAAATCATATCCAAAATTCACTGCCCTTGAACAAAAGTCTTGGTCTAGAACGAGGAGAATGCAGTTAACCGTCATAAAAACAACCCTTGCAGTTAAATTCGAAAAACTTCTTTTACAGTCTTCCATTCAGTTCAAGTAGTTCAAAAAAATCTTCCCATTGTAAACATCAAGCCAATAGTTAATATTTCTAATGTTAGTCTTTCAGAAGAACAAGAGAGAATTCTAAAATATAATTTTAACTTCTCACAAACCTGTAAACCCTCGATTCCAAAGATTTTGGCTCCTATCAAAAAAGCTTTCAAGTTCAGTAAAGTTTCAGATTCACAGAAAAGAATGATTAGGCATCTTATCGCTCATAATGTGAAATTCAATAATAAACCTTTAAAACCAAATCTAACTGCGAGAGAAAGAGTTACAATGCGCGAAATTCATTCTAACCTGGATATTATCATTTCAAAGGCCGACAAAGGTGGCCAGATAGTCGTCATGGATAAGAACACTTACATCGATGTGTTCACTAAACTCTTAAACGAAGGACCATATAATCCGATCCCTAAAGATCCTTCACCTTCGGACTTATCCAAAATAAAAAACTGCGATCAAATCTTCGCAAATCATTTCAAGCAACTTAAAACATTCGCTTATCCCATCTGTTGCGAATTGTGCCAGATTATATGCTCTTCCCAAAATTCATAAAAGTGGTATTCCTTTCCGCCCTATTGTTTCAAATTTAGGTACTGCCTCGTATCCTTTAGCTAAATATTTAGTTTCTAGATTTTCCACTCTATTAGACAATAATATTTACACCATAAAAAATTCAATAGAGTTTGTAAAAAAGGTTAAAAAACATTTCTCCTATAATTTACTCATGGTTTCTTTTGATGTAAAATCATTATTCACCAATGTCCCAGTGGAGGGTGCAATTAAGATGTCTAGAAACCAGACTTCGCGAATTTCATTTCTCTTGCATCGAAATTGAGGAGCTAATTTCTCTCACTCAACTCTGTTTGAAACAAACACATTTTGTTTTCCAAAATAAATATTACAAACAAACTGAGGGATTAGCCATGGGAAGCCCCCTCAGTCCCATCCTGGCTGATATCTACATGCATTATTATGAATCAAAATTGTTTGAAACTTTAAACTTCCCGGCATAGTTCCGCTACGTAGACGATACTTTTACCCTGTTTGAAGGTAATAAAGATGATTTAAATAAAGTTCTTTCAACAATGAATTCTATTGATCCTGCTATTCAGTTCACTTTTGAACTTGAGACTTGCAATTCTCTTCCGTTCTCGACATTCTGGTCACACGTAACACATCCAACTTCAGTACTTACAGTTTACCGTAAACCTTCATCGGTTTTGCCTTCCACCACACTTTAAATCATGTCATCCGACTAAACAAAAGTTAGCTTCATTTTTATTCCTATGTTTTCCGTGCTCTTCAAGTTTGCTCCTCCAAATTCGCCCTTGATGAAGAACTAAATTATTAAAAGCAATAGCTATTGACAGGGGCTTTTCACCCAACATTATTAATCAAGCAGTTAAAAAATTCTCATCTCAACACACTAAAAGCCACACTCTTATTTTAGGAGATTATAAAAATTCTGTTGTCATTCCCTTCTTTCCATCAATTAGCTATAAAGTTGCACATATTTTGCAGAAATTTAACTTTCGGGTTTTGTTTATTCTCCCATCAATAAAATTCCAACTTCTATACTCAAGGACCCCTTCCGGATATGAATTCCTGGGGTATTTATAGGATTCCTTGCCAGTGTGGTTTAAATTTACATTGGCCAAACTAAGAGAGCCTTAAAATTTCGCGTCAAAGAGAACATGAGGCATATGTTAGAAAAAAGGAAACACAGAAGTCTTCTGTTGCTCAACATTGTTGGTCCGAAAATCACACTTTCAATTTTTCTGCTGCCAAAATTATTCAAAAAAACATCTTCCATTGGAGAACTGGATTTTCTAGAGGCATTTCACATTCATAAAAATCTTTCTGTTCTAGTTAACAATCCTAATTCCAATCCAAATTTGCCTCTCGGCTTTTAGAGAAATTATGTTTTAGTTCTGGTTTCGCCAACAGATGGCGCCACTTGCTTATTCTTTGTCCAGGCTTTCTTATCTTATCTAATCATTATTTTCCTATCTTGTTCATTTTGCGGTTTTGCAGCTGAAGATGATGGTTCGGTAAAACCATCGAAACTAGTCCTGTGAAAATTTTGTAGGTATAACGCTGATTTTTGTTGTTTGACTTCTGAATTAGTATTTATTCGGCGTGTTATTGTGTCTTAATATAGACTTTATTCCAATATTATGTTTTAAAAATATCCTTACTACTACAGGTGGAAATGAAATTTCAAGATGTAATTGATGTGTATGAACAACCCTTTGGTATTCGAACTGTAGAAGTTAATGAAAAGGAGCTTCTGATTAATGGAAAACCATTTTATTTTATGGGCTTTGGAAAGCATGAAGACTCAAATGCAAGTATCAGTATTTAAAAAAAAAAGTGTGTATTACATAAAAATAATTTTATTTGCCTTTTATATATTTTCATTCAATATCATTAATTTTTAAACTATAATAGTATAAAATAAGATACTTTTATTTTTGTATAATAAATTGATCTAATTTTGATTAAAAAGAATGTGTAAATAAAATGTGTATACAATGGCATTTTAATCAAAATTGTAAAATTTTTACATTATTTTTTTTAAAAAACTTCGATTCTGTATATAAATAATAAATTCTTTAAATAAATTAAATGTTTAATTGTTGGTTTTGGGGAATAACTTAAATCCTATATTAATGTACAATAAGTATTTTCAAATGTAGCAGATCAGTATTTACCCAATAAAAGAAAGAGTAAAAAATTTTTAAATTAAAAAGAGTTCTCGCCCTTAAGTGGGGGAGAACATTTTTGCCGTTTTAGACTTTTATGCCCCTTTTAGAATTTTAACAAAATTTTCTTAGCACTTTTACTGGGATCACTTGTTCTAATTATCCCCCTTTTATTTATTTGTTTATTTACAGATTTACCAAAATGTATTTTTTGGAGTAATATTTTAATTTATCATATTATTCAAGTCCTTTTTCATGAATCAAACATGAGCTTGAAACTTTTATCAAACTATTTGACATAACTATTAAATTGATGAATGAACTAATTGTGCATGTATAATGATAATTAATAAGTTATAATAATTAATAGCAATCAACTATTGATTCTTATTCATCTGTGAAGTGAATGCTTAATGAATTCAAAATTTAAAGAAGGCAGTCAGCTCCAGCATCTTTACAAAAAAAAAAAAAAAAAAAAAAAATCATTGAAATGCTTGCATATTTTAATAAATTTAATAAACCCTCAGAATTGTAACAACTTTGTTAAAATATTTAATGAAACCACATTTAAGTGCCTTATTCAATTTACTTTTATATATGTTGTGAAAAGAAATTAATGTGGTGAAAGGGGGCAAAGAAAAGTAACCAGAATCAGTCTAGGTTATGTATACAGCAAGAGATTAAAAAAAAAAAGTTTGCAATAATTATAGTAGTATGACCTCAAAACATAGTAGTCCGTTTTATGCCAGGAATAAAAGGTATAATTTTTAGTTTGTGGAAAGTGGAATATATAATCTTTTGATATTGTTGGAGTATTTTAAAAAGGTGCTTATTGATGAGTATTTAAAGGGTGGCTTTTGATAGCATTATGTGTACTTAAGTAGAAAGATGGTGGATTTCTGTTTTGGTAATTCTTTTTCAAGTTAACCATTTGTTTGTTAATGCATAAGCTCTAATTCTAGTTACGTAGGTAAGTTGAAAAATAAGTTTCCCCTGTCGACTGTGGTCAGAGTTGTGTATGAAAGTCAAAAAATAGAATGAGACATTAAAGATATGACATACCTTTATTTTTCCACATAGGTACCAAGTACATTGAGACATTTGTCATATCGCTTGATAAGCTTCAAAAAGCCCTCCAGGAAAAAATCAGGGCTTTGCATATGGAAGAAGCGTTGAACGGCTTGTTTCACTTCAGTATTGCTTCCAAAGTGCCTTTCCCCGAGATTTTTCTTCAAAGCCGGAAACAGATGGAAGTCGAAATCCAACAGCCCATTCTTTCGATACAGAAAAGTGTCAGCACGATGGGTGCCCCGACAATTGACCTCGACACACAAGGAAACAACGCATGGGGGTCAGCCTGGAACATCTCGTGCGTTACCATGAAGATGGCAATGACTTTCTGTTTCGGATTGTGACGGGGGATGAAACGTGGGTCCACCATTTCACGCCAGAATCGAAGGCCGCATCTATGGAGTGGAAACATCCGTCATCACCTGTCCGAAAGAAGTTCAAGACAACTCCCTCTGCAGGTAAAGTGTTCCTCACAGTTTTCTGGGACGCCCAAGGAGTTTTGTTGCTGGACTTTTTGGAGGTTGGAACCATCAATGCTACGCGCTACTGTGACACCCTCTCGAAATTGAAAGAGGCGATTCGGAAAAAGCGGCCTGGCCTTCTCACATCTGGCGTTCTGCTGTTGGATGACAATGCCAGACCACATTCGACTTCCATCTGTTTCCGGCTTTGAAGAAAAATCTCGGGGGAAGGCGCTTTGGAAGCAATACTGAAGTGAAACAAGCCGTTCAACGCTTCTTCCATATGCAAAGCCCTGATTTTTTCCTGGAGGGCTTTTTAAAGCTTATCAAGCGATATGACAAATGTCTCAATGTACTTGGTACCTATGTGGAAAAATAAAGGTATGTCATATTTTTAATGTCTCATTTTATTTTTTGACTTTCATACACAACTCTGACCACAGTCGACAGGAGAAACTTATTTTTTAACTTATCCTCGTATATTTAAATGTAACAAATCTAAATTACAGTCACGTATTCTTTATCAGCAGTTTTTTAATCCTCTCTTATAGTTTATGTTTTACTCAAAACTGGTTTTGACCTGATTTAGAATTATGAAAAATTCGGTTTGACCTAATTAGAATTTTTTTAACTTTGGTACTACAGTCAGAGTTACTAACTTCTTTCACATTCTGGGTGATAATGAAGAATGTACATATGTACATGCAGATTCTTCATTATTTAATTTGTTTAAAATAATACAGTGTGATAATATTTGGTGGCAACAATCTGAACAGTGATACACCATTTATAGTAAACTGGCGCAAAATCCCATTTCGAGATTAATAGCCCCTTTTCGGTGGACTAAAAATGGAGACCTAAAGGCATCTACAACTTTAATATTTTTATGATATGTTATAAGGTATTTCCCGCTTTCCAGCGTGCCTTCGTGGTGTAATGGTAGCACGCTGGGCCGGTATTCAGAGGTCCGTGGTTCGATTCCCGGCGAAGGCGTTTGCTAATTTTTCATCTCTCCGGCTTCCAAAAATTACCTAATGTCACTACAGTGGCACTCGAACTAAAAGGGTTGTGGATGATGATTCTCCATACCCAGGATTTGGCGACTAGGTTCCCTAAAACCCTATTTGCCCTTTAAAAAGGGGAGTATATAAGGTATTTCTTCCGCTTTCCAGTGTGCCTTCATGGTGTAACGGTAGTACGCTGGGCCAATATCCAGAGGTCCGTGGTTCGATTCCCGGTGAAGGCGTTTGCTAATTTTTCATCTCTCCGGCTTCCAAAAATTACCTAGTGTCTCTACAATGTAAAGTAATACAGCACAAATGATTAAAATTTCAGACTAAATGGTTCATAAATTCCAAAGTTGTGTAAATGAGAACTCAACATAAACTAGCCTTGATTGTTTTATAAATGCATAGTGACTGAATAAGAATTTAGTCTTTGGTTAGCACTGAGAAAGAATGCATCAACTTGACAGAGGACATATTATTACTATGAGAAATATCTATAGTTCTTGCTCTGATATTGCCAGACAAATGGTATGCGGCATTTATGTAGCTAAAAGAGCATGCAGAGACTGATTTGATGAAGAGTGCAGAGCAGAGATTTTTCAGCCTTTTAACTTCCCTCAGCTGCTTTGGAAAAAGATGAGATATTTTGGGCCAAAAAAAATATTTATCATACCAGTGGGAGCTCATAACCTCCAGAGAAAATTTTATCAAAAATTTTTGGGTTTGCTTAAGTTTGACCACTGAAAGATATTTTTCAATTTCATTTCTAGGGGGGGAAAGTGCATGTTTGACCACATTTGTCCAACTTTGCTTAGTGAGTACTGCATACAGACAGTACATCGAAAAATTTTTAGCAACTCTCTTGACCGGGGGGGGGGGGGAAGAAAAGCATAAAGACAAGTAAATAAAACTTTATTAATTTATGATTTTTTTAAATATAATGACAGCAGCATAGAATTATTTTGACATTGTATTTGATATTTTATACATAACATTTCAATATAAATTTTATTTACAATTTTTTAAGATTACAAGATATCATAAAATTAATGTGATATTTAGCCTTGGATTTGAAAAACTAATGCATAAATGTATGGTTCAGTTGAAATGGTTGCAGTTTTCAAGGAGTTCTTAGGATGTTTATCTGATACGCTGATTCTAATTTTACTCTTAGTGTGCTTCATTCTTAAAAATAATTGTATGCAAATGTATATGCTGCCAAATAATGATGACATGAATAAAGTGTGACTGTTTTATAAACTATTGCATCCACAAGACACTAATAATTATAGCCTTAGTATGCATACATTCCTTGACAACCAGTAATATTAGTCCTAATATTAGCTTTTGAAGTACGAAGACAGAATGGCAGTTTTAATAGTGGATATTCATTCAAGATTTAGTTTTACAATATATAACAACAAGATTATCACAGGAGTACTAATAGAAAGAACTGGTCAATTTGAATGTAAAATCTGTCCCAGAACAATAAAAACCCAAACAAAGAAGATTCTAAAAAGAGTTAAAACCAGTCATGTACTAATCTAAAGTAATATATAACTATTTATGAAGACAGCTGTTTGAATATCTGATTCCTCTTTCTAATAAACTATTATTAAAAGCAAGTTGAAAAAAATTCTTCAGATAATTTATTTCATTATTATCATTTATTAATAATAATAATAAAACTTTCAAATTTGTGCTAAATTAATGAAGTCAAAACCATAGATGTTTGTAATGAAACTGAAAATGAAATGAGCATAAAAATGTTATAAAAATAAAACCACTTTAATTATTAAAAAATAATTGCACATGTGCCTGAAAATTTTAAGGAATTGTAAATTGAATTACGTTAACAATTTATTCTAGTAGAATTTTCTTTTCTGTTTTAGATTCGTGGCAAAGGACTAGATTTACCATTGATTATAAAAGATTTTAATTTAATTAAGTGGATTGGTGCAAATTCATTTCGTACTTCTCACTATCCTTATGCAGAAGAAATAATGAATCAAGCTGATTCACAGGGTATAGTTGTTATAGATGAATGTCCAGCTGTGGGATTAACGTGAGTTGTTTTCAATTTTTCCCTCTTTTTAAAGACTATACATACAATATTATGTATTTTATATTACATAATTCACTTACTATCCAATATTTTCCAGTAAATACTGCATTATCATCCAGTTTTTTTATTTAAAATTCATGTATAAACTACTTTGAAATATGAAGGATGATTGATAAGTAAGTTCTGAAATCCTATAAAATAAATTTAGGTAAAAATAAAATGGTGCAAGTAATATCAGAATGAAGGAAAACTATTTCTCTTAGCATGGCATTTTTATTTTTCAACGTAGTCACCATTCGTTGCTACTTAAGTTTTCTAATATACACTGCTCGACATTGAAAATGCAACACCAAGAAAGAGTGTCCTGAGGGATGGCTCTCCATTCCCTTTCAACCATTTGCCACAGTTCGTCTTCTGAACGAGGCAGGGGCAGAGTCTGCAAACGGCGTCCAATCACATCCCACACATGTTCGATTGGTGACATGTCAGAAGAGTACGGTGGCCAGGGAAGCATCTGTATGTATACCTTGCAGAGTATGTTGGCAGATGCAAGCACTGTGTGATTGGGTGTTATCCTGCTGAAAATTTGTATTACGCAACCAGTGAAGGTAGGGGATTGTCACTGGCCGCAGTACATTATCCAAGTATTGTTCGGCCGTCATAGTGCCCTGAATACAAACTAGAGGTGACCTGGAATCGTAGGCAATAGCGCCCCAAACCATTATGCCATGCTGTTTCGCGGTGGGGTGTTCCACAGTTACTGCCAGATTAGATCTGTCTCCACATTAACACCGCACTCGTATGCGGCAACTGGATAAACAGAAGCGTGTCTCATCTGAGAACATGACATTTCGCCATTCTGTCATCCACATAACTCCAGTCCGGCACCATTCTAAACGTCTTCTTAACGGACGCTATGAGTGCAGGCCACGTTCAACCAATCGACAGGAAATGGTTCTGGCTGACACGGGAACATCCAGGGTATCTTGCACATGCTGCAGAATCACGGTACAAGTGACTTGCGGGACCGCCACAGCTTGTTGGCGGATGCGTTGATCCATGTGTGCTGATGTCACTCTGGCTGCACCTGCACCCCTCCTTCTTCCCACATTTCCTTGTTCCAACGATGTTCGCCATAACTGATGCACCGTACTTGCATCCATGGTATGATCAGCTGTGATTTGACGTAAGAACCAACCCGCCCTTCTCAGTCCGATCACCATACCCCTTGTAAAATCGTCTATCTGCTGGAAGTGCCTTTGTTGAGAGCGGCCTGAAATTCTCTATTACACGTATCCTCCGGGGCAAAAACCAGCTTCCTTCGATAATTCGTCTGGCAGAAATAACGACACAAATATTGCCAATTCTGCACATTCCTTCCGTTATATCTTGCTTCACGTGCATCGAAGAGCTGCGCATTTCACATCATTCACATAACTCGGCGACGTGCATCTATGCTAAAATTTGCATAAATTTTAAATTTCTGACCACTCCATGTTGTTGCATTTTCAGTGTCAAGCAGTGTATAATTCTTTTTTCATTCCATTCATGGGGGGGATTATAATTTGCATTTGATATATTTTCATACACAGTTTAACTTTGTATCAGGTGAAAAATACATAATTTAACTGGGGTATCAGATAAAAATTCAATCTAGGAAGAGCCAAAAATAAGATGAAAGTAAATCTGAGCTATAAGGAAGGTATGAAATAAGAAGGAATTTCATGTTTATTATTTTTGTTATAATTTGTGGACTGCATTGTGGTTTCTAAAAAGTCCTGCTTTGAGGTCTGATTTTTCAAATTTTCACGTCTTTCAGAAATAATAATTTTTTCCCTTAGGTAGGAATATCTTCATTGCATGTTCACACTTGAAAATTATTTATCCAGAAATACATTGTTATCACTTCTAATGCAGAATTCCCATAAATTGTATCCAACTTCATTCCCCCCCCCAAGTGGCCTTTTATTTCTTAAAATAACACATTTTTATTGTTGAATGAAATTTTCCTTGAATTTTTATTTCATATATTACAATGTTTGCTTAATTTTTCTTTAAAACTTAAACAATGCATTGTTATTGGCCAGAATTGGCTTGAGCTAATATGAACAGTGCTATCTGTTAGCCTTGACATCACCAATGAATTGCAATGTTATGTTATAGAAATTTACCAGATTTATCAAATGACTCTTATATCTTTCAAATTTTATAAATATCATTTGATACAGTATAAAATAGAATAGTGTCTAACAATGAAAACAACATAAAATTAAAAAATGTATATTAATTCCAGAATTTTTAATTTGTATTTACTAGTGTGCGATTTAATTTGATTTTCCAGCTCAGAGTCTACAAAATGATTCTGTCTGAACTTTTGAACAGATTTTTTTAGAAAAATTTCTAAGATGTATGACATTTTAACTACTTATAATAATTGTAATTTTAGCAATGTGTGGATATTAACCAATATAAACATCTGAATTAAATGCATAATATATGGTCCTACTATAGTAGTAATAGAAGTTTGAATCTGTAGCATCTTTTATCCTCCCTCTTTCAGTTATTGTCATGGATGAATATATTTTTATTTACTAAGAATTAAACTGTAGGATTTATTCATATACATTAAAATTTTAATAATTTTGGTAACAAGGGTAAATTTTTTGTAACTTTTGGAAAATAAGTTTTTCTTTTTAAGATTTGATCACATGTAATTAATGGTGAGCTATGAAAATTTTAACAAAGGCATCACACTTATAAAAACAAAATGTGAATTTCTAATTAAGCATTTTACATTTTACAAAAACAGAAAATACAAATAATTGCCCATTAAAACAATTAAAAAAAACTTTAAAAAATTATAAAATATCATAGGGCTCATATAAATATCATAGAATTCACATAAAATAACAAGTAAATTTAATTATATGCCACAGTTTATGTCAGAAGTTGCACATTATTTCTTTCTTTCACGTCAGTTGATTTCCTAGTAGCTTCTAAGCCCTTGTGATGATTTTTGGAAAACATTTTTACATAATGTTTAGGATTTAATTATCTTAAAGGTTTCTAATTTTAAAGGGATTGTCACTGAATCTGAAGCATGTTGTACAATCAAAGATATTCTTGTAGAAGAATTATTCATCAAACTAAAAGCTGATTTAGTTTTAGAGCTACGAATAGTGGTAGTCTCCATATTGACTTTAGCTCTTTTTATTACTATTATTATAAATTTTCTTATATAGTTTTCATGTTTAAGCCATTTCAATGAAGTCCTGAAAATAATTAATTTTTATTGTATGTTTTAATATGAAATTGTTTGTATCATTTTATCTCCATCTAGCCATGGACATGTTACTTCTTCTATGTTCCATTTCTCTTGATAAGAAATATTAAAAATATCCTTTAATTCTTCATCCTTGCAGTTTATCATTTTCAATTTTCATTTTGTAATTACTTTGTTGCACTAATATATTTTATAAAGTCACTGCAAGATAGATCTGTAATTTTCTTCACATTAATTTGTGAAATTCATCCTTGTTTTCAATTATTTAATCCTTCAACTTGTGTTGATTTTAGCATAGAATTAATTTATTGTTTTAAGAAAAAAGGGGGCTTGCAAATTAGAGATATTTTTAACGAAGAGCTTTATGAGCCCCTATAGCTAACTGCTCCTTTCAACTCTTAACTAAAGGTTATAGTTAAATAAAGATTGGAAGAAAACACAACTGATTTACATGAAGAGATAGGATATCTGAAATTAGTCACAGATTTTGATATTATAATGAGTTGAGTTTTGATGTTGGAACACTAAGTAAGCATAATTTATTTAAAAATTCTAGGCTTATGCTAATAATTTACACAAAGTGTTCTTTAGTTCATGCGGGAGGGCAGATGATTCACAAAGTGTTTGCAAAAGTTCCTATCCATTAGTCGGACGTTAATGTTTTCTGAGGATTTAGAGCAAGGTGAAGTTCTTGAGTAATCATTAAGATAATTCTGGTCATTCTGAGCAAGGTGCCCTGTCAGTAGCGGGCAACCGGCTACTGATTCTCCTTGAAGATATGGAGGAAGTTGCTCTTGACAAAGCTTAAAGAAATTGCTCTTAGCAGAGCTGATTCTGGATCTCTCAATAGAGAGGTAATAATGCTTTTGATAGAGAAAGCAGGAAAAAAAAAAAATACCTTTGACTGAGCTGAAAAAACACAAAGGAAGAAAATTCTCTCTTTTTCACCAAAACTAATTAATTCCAACTCTGGAGTTGTGTTCATTGTTTTTGTTCAATATATCCTGGGCATGTTGGGAAGACTTCCTGAATTCTCATTTATCCAAAATTTTCACAGCATCTCTCGATTGGCGAGTGCACTTTGATTAATTGCTGGTATAATGTTGACAGGCCTGGGAAAACTTTCATGAGAATTCCCAGGCTTTAACTTGGAATGGGATCTGGGGCTACAATTGCAGAAGTGGTTGGCAACAGGCAGTTGATGCATATGAATACATGTACAACTATATGCATGGAAACTCTGATCAGGGGATTCCCATTCTCCTTCAGACCACCATGAAATAAAATAGAGAGTCATGAATGGTATGGGATCAAGGCCATGTTCAGCTTTCCCAAGAATTGCTAAATTACCATTAGAAAACATTTTTCTGAGAATTGTAATGTGGTTGTTAGAAAATAGTTGAAGACATTACAATGCCATAAAATGGATCCAGAGTGCTATTGGCATGAGTAAGATCACAACTTCTGCAACCAAAATTGGTGTAAAATATCTTATTTAGCTGATTGATTATTAGGAAGGTGGATGCTATTTTTTTTCATATTTTTTCTTTCTTTTTTTCTTAATATCATATCTTTAAGCAAGTTACAGAAATCTGTTTCAAATGACAGGCACAGTAAGAAGAGTTGACTGGTTCACTTAGAAGGAGGTGCGAAACGATTTCTTTAACTTTCCAGTACACACGCCTGGGAATTTTACAAGAGCACATATGTGTCATAT